TCACTGACTAAATAAAATACATACATGTATATACATGAAGGTTTAAAAAAAAAAGGGGGGCACACATGTTTATAGATTTACAGAGATGCTCAGACTGAGTTTTTCCCACTTTCATTGGGCCACTGTTGCACCAGAATGTAAAAATATGAGTGACAAATAAGGCAAAAGATTCTGTATATTTCATTAAAAAAGATTTGAGACAAAAGATTCATTGGCATAATATGATCTGATTGATTATCTCCATATCCTTCTTTTGGTCACTGTGATTAAAGATTCATAGAAATATTAGAAATAACAACTGAGAATATCACTTTAGCTGTTTTAAAAGCATGTATCAGTATTTTATAAGATATGCTAGGAGTCTCCTCATAAGAATATTTAGAATACTGATCCAATAAAAGGAATGTGAGATAATATGATCATAACTCATGCAAAAAAGATTTATCAACATTTTTAGGATCTTTTAGTGTCCTAGTGTATTTCAGGGTAAACAATGGCAGTGTTTATATGAATGTTCTAAACATAAGGTATATAACACAGTAATAATGAATAAATACAAAGATGACCTTCATAGAAAATGTATAAAGAAAAGTTTGTTAAAACTTACCATGTAACCAGGTAACTCAGTAGAGTAATATTCATTAAATAATCCAGTGAAATAACATCTAGGCTGATCCAGGATTCAGCTGTTCAGAACTTTCTTGGAAGAAAAACGGTAGAAAATCAGTTTTGGTACTGAAATCCATAGGACCATACTGTTATTACATGAAGTCTCAAGCGCTGTGAAAGTCTGTGTTATTGTGTCAAAATAAGCAGCCACCGCGGCTTGTGAAGGACTAACATGACGTCGCTGCCAAGTTTATGACGTCACAATGCATAGGTAAGTCTATGGTATGTTTTGCACACGGCCCCCTTACAGATGATGCAACAGGTATAAAAACGCAGGTAAAACGTACTGATGCACAGGGCCCTTACAGTAAAGGTATATAAACCATGTGTGTTTTTGTAACTGTTTTCAGTAAAAAATCCAGGTTTTTATTGTTTTGAGGAAATCAGTTTGAACCGATTAGGCTAGGCTGGGTAGACTGTGAAGCGTGACGTTATAATTAAATTCTTGAGTCGCTGACAAAATCGTAGTAGCAGCGTATAGTATATAATGCAAACACAGTGTAAACACCTCCGTATTTAGGGGGCTATATGTACTGAATTGACCCGGCTATCCCCCACAGACCCCCTAATCTGCACTCCCTTGACCCACCTATCCCCCCAGGGGCTGCACTCCATTGACCCGGCTATCCCCCCAGGGGCTGCACTCCCTTGACCCGGCTATCCCCCAGACCCCCAATCTGCACTCCCTTGACCCAGCTATCCCCCCAGACCCCCCAATCTGCACTCCCTTGACCCGCCTATCCCCCCAGCCAATCAGAATCCAGCATTTTTGACCTCATTTGCATAAAAAGTGCACTCAGTTGAACCCCCCATCTAGGCCGCTTATACTACTTGGATGTGATACGATATTTTATATTCTTATATGGCCATGTTAACAGTAAATAAGTTTTTGTTGTTTGTATAATTGTTTTAAAAATTTTTGGCCATTATAGTATCCAATAGGTTTTGTTATAAAGTAATATTTTGTATATTAAATTAATATTGAAAATTTAAATAACTCAAATACAGAACATTCCATTTGGAACGGGGAGGAGTGTTGTAAAGAATTAACTTACGTACGACTTACTTAAGGACTTTCCCGATTCTAAAATTAGATTAACAGAGACTCTCTTCCCGCCAGCCCGTGCAGAACTTTGTTTATTGTGTTTAGATATATTTGTACTTTAATATTGTTGTACCTGTGCTTACAGAATACATTCTTAAGTAAGTAAAGGTGTATTTTTTCTATAGATCGAAGTTGTGCATACGAACAGAATTGAGGGGGCGTGGAAGCAAAAGACCACTTCAGGAGACTCGTTGGAACAAAGTTGCCTCAATTCGAAGGGCATTTGGAGGAAATCATGTGGAGACAGGCAGAGAGGGGAAACATCTATGAAGCATTCTTTGACATTTTGAGAACCGTATATCCATTGGATGGTCCACCTCAATACACATATCAAACACCATTGTTCAGTTCCTGGGAAGGATTTCCTGAAAGCCAGTCCAAAATTGATGACTGGGAAATCAGACCAGGTACAAATATCCTGAGTATTTAAATACATATTCTGTTAATATACATTTGTCATTTGACATTCACAACATTCAAGGTCACTTTTTCAATTTCTTTTTATCAGAGAACACTGATGCGGAGAGTGAGGCCGAGTCGCAAATAGTGAATCCTTCGGCAGAGTTGTTTTCAGGTACAGTGGAGAAAACCAGCTCAGGTATTATGCCGAACAGGGAGCTTTCCTCCGATAAGCTGCGGGAGAAACGACTCTTGGAGAAGTCCTCTTTGGATAAAGTTTTTGATGAGATGTTGGCAGGGTCTGGGGCTGAGGATGACGTAGACAGAACCTTAACAGAATTTTCAGTTGCAGAAGGTAAACCCTACAAGAAAAAGCATGAAAAAGTTTTTGTGTCTTATTGGTTTAAATGAAATAATGATATTAAAAAGTATTCTTTACTAAAAATATTAATTTCTATTCTATAGATTCAACATCAGTTCCCGAAGAAGGAAGACAACTGAAGCAAGTACATTTGAAAGGTATTACAATAAACCATTTTTATATTTTTTTCTGGAAGGTCCGATAAAGGATTACAAACATGAAGTAAATACATTTAGTAGTAAGGCATGATCATAATTATTACCATTTTTGTCTTCATAGCTCGAGTAATAATCCAAAATCCTAGAATTTCTGGCTGAAGAACCCAAGATGCACCCTCTGATAAAGGTATAAGCAGAAATATTCTTAATATTTAAATAAAATTATTTTCTCCCTCGTTTCACTCCTCCGGAAATAAATATTTTCTTGACTAATTTATTGAAAAACAAAGAAAAAGAATATACTGTAGGATTGGTGCGTTCGTTACAAATCGCATTTTTATTCAAAACATACAAATCAAACTACATGTAATAAAATTTACACGATAAACAATGCAAGGGCTGGGAGGGCAGGGAAAACCAAAGACACAAAACAACCTGCGATTCTTTGTAACGAACGTCGCATTAATCGAACATTTCCTGGTAAAAGTATTTATAGTGAGCGCTAAATCGCTCGTGCATGAAAAACCAGTTTCTTAAGATACGAAGTTTCACGGAGAATACCGAAGTAAAAACGTGAAGAAATAAATTTATTTTCTCCCTCGTTTCACTCCTCCGCAAATAAATATTTTCTTGACTAATTTATTGAAAAACAAAGAAAAAGAATATACTGTAGGATTGTTGCGTTCGTTACAAATCGCATTAAACAAAGGACAGTAGGTGCAATAAATTAAAATAATTTTATAATCCAATATTCATTGAAACCAGAATTTTATGTTCAAGATTGGCTTTTATATAACCGTCTTTGGCTTTATCCGTGACCCACCGACCATGTATTTTAAGCAATCGAACAGACGCATTATTATTAACAGCGGCTGTAACTCCGCCGCTACGTAAACCGTGTAAAGCATATTTAAAACTGTCAAGGCCAATTTCATTGAAAGAAGACAACAATATTTTCCTAGCTCTTGTATATGACAGACGTTTGAGTTTATTTGAAACTTTGCATTTATTGAGGGATTTACAAAATTTACATCTGTAAACATGTAATCATTGGAAGACTTATCCATCTCAGACATGACGATGTTTAACCAAAACACAGGACACAAATCGTTTCCAGTTTTTGCGTATATCACCGAATTTCCTCTCCTGTAGATATCCGTTTTGCTTCTGGGAATATCAATTTCGATGTGAACACTTTCCCAAATGGTATCACATAATGGAATATTTCATACCAGAAAAACACAATACACACATCACAAAGGAACTTATCCTCGCATGGGTACAAGTTTGAAGAAAATTCATGAGTCTGACTTATACTGTAGAAATACGCTTCCAGAAGCGACGTTGATACTCTCTGTTGCACCAAACCTCCCACAAAAAGAGCGACAGTAGACACTGATGCAGGAGGATGCGTAAATGAATGCTTCGAACACCAGTCTCTGAATTTAGAGAAATATATATCGTAGATCTTGTTCGTTGACTGAGATTTTGTATTTCTCACGATATGCGACAAAGACTCCACTATACGTAGCTAAAAGGAAAATCGACTTTAAACTTGTCAATATTTATCCATTGGCCTTGATAATTCTTCAATGTCTGAAATATATATTAACATGAAAGCACATTAAAATTCAAACCAAATTTGTACAGTAACCAATAATAGCCACGATATTATATGGGTCAATATAAAAAAAGCAGCTAAATGGTTCATATGAAAATTGGAGATACAATTAAATATTTCCGTTTCTTTTTTGTATCTAAATTGATAAAGCTGCACAATATTTTGGGAAAACAACATTTAGCAAACAGTAGGGAAGCTACTTTTTTCAGAAATTTCTCGTAAAAGTTATCAAATTGTGTTTTTCTGTCATTGGTGTTACCTTATAAAATTTTGTTGTATAGAATCAATTAAAAGACTTATGAATGCAAGCCATGATAAACATGTTCTTGGATTATTCAAGTTTACTGACAAGTCCAAAAGTATCGTTGTCCAGTGATGAAAATTAAGTTTTCAATCATATTTGGACATTGAAATGAGACAAAAATAAATAGACACACACTAAAAAATGCTGTAAATGTGGTGCCATGTGTGTACAGTTCAAAATAACATAATTTATGACTTTTTTCAAGGAGTGAAAATAGGTAATATAAAGTTATTTCTTACATTTAAACTTATTAAAGTAAAAAAATAACAAGTTTCAGGTTGGTTACTCCACTGACTCAACTGTAACACCAATGATCGAAATTAGTAATACTAATGACTTAGCACTTAAGAATTAGCATTTAAACATACTTTAACATGAAACTTCATATGAAAGACAGAATACACTGCATGGCTAACATACAAAAATGAAAAAAGTTTCTGGGATTTCATACTTAAAATGATCTAATAACAAAAAGAAATCTGGTAACACCAGTGACAGAATAGTTAACTTTTATGGTAACACCAATGACTGGTGAAGTAACAACGGTGACAAGAGATATGCAGTGTTGTTAATCATTGTTTTGAAAAAAAAAATGTTTGTAGGGTAAAAGGGTCTCAGTTGTGAAGGATATGATGTTTTAAATCCCACATTCTTTATTAGAGAACTAGTAGATAAAATGTATTAATCAAAATCTCTTGTCACCGTTGTTACTTCACCAGTCATCGGTGTTACCATAAAAGTTAACTATTCGTAGAGAGATTTGTACAAACTAAGTTAAACTTGACTAATTTTACTTTACTTAGGTGATAAACTCTGACATTCATGCATGGCCAGTGAATTTTTCAGAAGGGAAAATATATTTTTTGAGCATAAAAAATGTTTTGTCATTGGTGTTACATTAAAAATACTAATTGGAAAATAAATCAATTACTTTCAAATACCATAAATTAGGTTTGCAAAGTAGAATACAAATAAATAATTTTTCAATATAAGAAGAATATATTTTGCCTCCAAAAGTACTTGTTTTGTCAATGGTGTAACCATTCCTGTCATTGGTGTTAAACTTTAGAAAGTAATGCCAATGACCGTAACACCAATGACGTATTAGGCATAAAATGATCTAATATTTCTAAGTTACCCTGGATAAAGTAAAAGTTTTGTCAACATTGCTTTTAGTTTCCCTAAAGAATATCTTTCGTAAAAAGAGTTTAATGAATATCTAAAATCGTTTTGAAATAACGAGGGAAACACCACTGACAAAAAAAGTTTGTATTTGTGTACTTTTTAACTTCTGAAGTCCATTAATATGTTCTGATCATGAATATCAAGGAGCAGTTTCTGTTGTTTTTGGTGAGAAGTGATGTAATATGACTTAGGACTGTTTATATTCTCTTATCAGGAATGATAACCCTTTTGTAGCAAAAACAAAAATAGTAACACCAATGACACAACTTTCTTGTACAGTCATATTAAATGCTGTATCAGTTAAATGGAAGGTGGGGCTCATATTTTTTATTCAAAGATATATTCTTTTTAACGGTTATTTTATGTATACACGATTTTTCAGACAAAATTTCATATAATTTTTGGCGTAGTTATCCTTATTTGAAGAGAAAAATTCCATCGACAGCATGAATTTGGCTGATTGGTGTGATAAAATCATCCATTGACTTTAATGAAATTAATTGTGTGAAAATTTCTATTAGTAAATAGAAAGTACAGATGTCATAGATTGTAAAGCAACAATCAAAAATTGGGAGAAAATAAGAAATAGGTTTTTACAAAGAAGTGACACATTTAGCTGCTTTTTTTTATATTGACCCATATCACACATATTTACAAGCCAGGCACGTAGCATCGTTTTTGAAAGTGGGGGGGCCAACCTGAGAAAGTTTTTTTTTACTTACCTGAAAAAGTTGACAAGCAAAAAAAAAAAAAAAAAAAAAAAAAAGAGTTGCCCAAACTCGAAAATCCTATTTCGTGGGGGGGGGGGGTGTGTAGTGACCAACTTTTTCAAAGCTAACTTACTATCATTCCAATGTTTTCCTTACAAACCTTGCTATCACTATTCTCTGGTTATCAAGTGGGGGGGCCAACCATCCTATCAATGAACATTTACTATAGTAAAGGTTATGTTGGGGAAAAAAGTGGGGGGGCCTGGCCCCCCCTGATACTACGTCCCTGCAAGCAACTTTTTCATCAAAATCATAAATTGGAGAGCAGTCCTCCATGATTAAAAATCAGTCATCAAAATACTAGTATATGATTTTCAGAACCAGCATGTTAGATTATAATCTTATATTAGTATTGCAATCATTCAAATCTAGGAGAGCAGTCCTCCTTTTTGGATAACAGTCATCCAAATCATTTCATTTCAGTATGCATGCACATTGTACACTGGTTAACAGTCAACCTTTGTGTACTATTCTGTTCATATTTCACGATCAAAGCATGCAAATGAACATATAAATATAGTGTTCAACATCATAAATAGGAGAGCAGTCCTCCATGATTAAAAATCAGTCGTCAAAATACTAGTATATGATTTTCAGAACCAGAATGTTAGATTATAATCTTACATTAGTATTGCAATCATTCAAATCTAGGTGAGCAGTCCTCCTTATTGGATAACAGTCATCCAATCATTTCATTTCAATATGCATGCACATTGTACACTGGTTAACAGTCAACCTTTGTGTACTATTCTGTCCATATTTCACGATCAAAGCATGCAAATGAACATATCAATATAGTGTTAAAGTGACTTAATTACGAAGCATCCAATCCCAGTGCTATAGTATTACTGATTAATTTGTAAATACTCTTACTCCTTATTGGATAGCAGTCGTCCAATCATTTCATTTCAGTATGCATGCACATTGTACACTGGTTAGCAGTCAACCTTTGTGTACTATTATGTCTATATTTCACTATCAAAACATGCAAATGAACATATTAATACATCTTTATGGTGTTACAATGACTTAATTACGAAGCATCCAGTTGCGGTGCTATAAAATTACTAAATGTTAGCAGCAAATAAGTTATTTTTATCAGAACATGAACTTTTTTTTTTATACTCGTATCTTTCACAAACCACAAGAACTTTCATTTTTTGTCGATCAAAGAAGACCAAAAAGCTGCTGAATTCCATTTCGGAACGATTAAGGCACTATATACACTGTAGAACCGTAATTTGATACATATAAATGTTTTAGTGACCTCCCTATCAAATTAATAAATGGGAGGAACAATCCAAATCCTGTGACCAGTCGAAAGAAAATGCGTCGAATGCGCTTGTTCCATGGATTCTAAACAAAGAAA